CCGGATGTAACCGACAAACCGTGACCTACTTGAATCGTCTAGTCGGTGACTGTCTTCACGTTGGTTGTTGTTAGTAGTCTTCTGTCGTTCAGTTGATGTATTCCACTTACCGTGGACACGTCTTCATCGCCAACTCATAATATCTTATCATTCTAACTAATATTATTATTCTCAATAGTTTATTAGTATAATTAATATTATAAGATTATATCAATATTATTATTCTTGCTGACCTTAGTATAACATATTAACTTATATTATTATCATACCATTGTGTCTCATCTGTAACTATGGCGATGCCCCAATCAATCCACTACATCGATGCGAAAGCTCGTGTTGTTCGTGCTATCAGCCGAATCACTACATTCGTGAAAGCTTCAGGCGAGTACAATAACGATCGGACAAATATAGGGAAACAAGCAAAAATCAAACAAATGCTTTCTGAATTAAAGGAAATTCGACGTTGTGTGAATGAAGACATTCAGATAATGGAAACCGCTGTAGGTCAATGTACAGCACCTATCGATGTCACCGATAATAAGTGTAGTGGGACGTTAATCAGTTCTTTTGAAGATATCTTTTATGAGCTGGCTGCATTTGCCGACATTCATCAATTTCCACTGTCGCCAGTCTCAGAGATGTCTCAATCGTTTGCTTCGAGCACGGCTCAGCAATCTGGTACTTTGGGAAATTTGTCATGCTTCCAGCTACCAAAACGCAAATTTCCCACCTTTTCTGGAGTTATTACGGAATGGCAAGGGTTTGAAGATTTGTTTAACTCCATATTGTCCCATGCTCCAGACTTACCTAATGTCGAAAAATTCGAATACCTGAAAACGTCTCTTCAAGGTGAAGCCTTATCCCTGGTGGCCCATTTACCATTGACATCAGCAAACTACTTGAGCGCCTGGGGAATCCTAAAATCACGATACGGAAACAAACGCGACTTAGCCCGCATTCATTTCCAAGCTCTTCTAAAGAAGCATGTCGTTAAATCCACTGATTCACAATCCATCAAAACGTTGCTAAACTTGATTACGGAACATACAGCAGCATTAGACAACTTAGATTTTGTTACTAGATCGTGGAGTCCACTGTTATTATATATCTTTGAACAACATTTAGACTATGAGCTACGATCTCGTTGGGAGCTAGCAGTGGGAGATGAACATTCCCCAAGTCTCTCCGAGTTTATCGACTTCTTACGACAGCACATGCGCTCTGCAGAAGTATTTGTAACCTCGACCACGTCCGCTTACCACACTAAAGTTCCTAAAAATCAGGACAACCTTCGTTCTGTTTCGTCGCACAAAATACTTACCACAGCTACCAGTCTCTCAGCAACGGTTAATTGTCCATTATGTAAAAACTCACATTCAATTCGAAAGTGCTCACGATTCAATGAAAAAACTCCTAATGAACGGTTCCACCTTGCAAAAACGCATCGGCTTTGTATCAACTGTTTAGGAGCTGGTCATGCATCAGCAGCATGTCAATCTAAGTATAAATGTCAAGTTTGTAATCGATCCCATCACTCGTTGTTGCATTTTAGTTCTAACTCTGGATCAAATCAACAACAACTCAGACTCTTCAACTGCCTTATCAATGATAGTCAAAGGAGTACCTAAACATCTTATATTATTATCAACTGTAATACTTGATGTAGTCGCTGCTGATGGCCATCGACATTCCCTTCGGGCTCTTTTAGACAGTGGCTCACAAGCGAGTTTTATTACTGAAGAAGCTGCATCGTTGTTAATGCTCCGACAATTCTATTCACCCGTGAACATCACGACCTTTGCAAATACAAACTCCACGCTTGTCAAAGGTAAAGCCACTATAACTGTTTTCCCTTGTAAACAATTAACACCGTCTGTGTGCGTTGATACATTAATTGTTCCACAAATTACTGGCCTTACACCTCAAACTCCAATCACGAACGGAAAGTGGACTCATATTGAGAACCTTCCTTTGGCTGACCCGTCATATCATCTCCCTGGACAGATTGACTTGCTCTTAGGAGCTGATATGTTCCCATCTCTGGTGTTGACTGGCCAACGCAGAGGTCAAACTGGTGAACCAATGGCAATGGAAACAATATTTGGTTGGGTACTGGTTGGCCCAATTCAATCTCCTCCGTCTGCCTCACTAAATTCATTCTGCATATCTGTCTTTGAAACTCTCGACAAAAATCTAAAAAAATTTTGGGAACTCGAGGAACTCCAAACAACTCAGCACCTTAGTAAAGATGAATCTACTGCAGAGAAGTTTTATCAACAAACTACAACTCGCCTTGCGTCAGGGCGGTTCATGGTGAAACTCCCATTCAAATCACCACTTCCTTTGTTAGGCGATTCGAAAACTATGGCTCTTCAAAGGTATAGATCATTGGAGAGTAAACTAAATCGAGATCAAAGTCTTCGCCAACAATATATTGACTTTATGCAAGACTATCTCTCTAGCAACCACATGGAACTTGTTCCTATCGAAGATCAAGATACTCCCTATAACTACTACATCCCTCACCATTGTGTACTTCGGCCAGATAGCCTAACAACCAAATTGCGTGTTGTATTTAACGCCTCTGCGCAAACACCTACGGGATCATCTTTAAATGATCACTTATATACAGGTCCCAAACTACAACCCGATATCCAAGTCGTTCTGCTACGCGCTCGACTCTGGAAATATCTGTTTATGGCTGACGTAAAACAGATGTATCGTCAGATTATCGTGGACCCTCCTGATCGAAATTATTTAAGGATTTTTTGGCGATTCACTGTAGATTCTCCTATTGAAGAATATCGGTTATGTACAGTCACGTACGGTACTTCTGCAGCTCCATACCAAGCTCTTCGGACTGTTCGAGAATTGGCTACTGTTGATGGACCTACATTTCCAGTCGCTGCTGAAGTGCTGCTACACGACACATTCGTTGATGATGTTATTACTGGTGCGAATACCGAAGAAGCTGCTCTTGAGTGTCAAAGCCAACTAATTAACCTATGTGGACGTGCCAAATTCGAATTACGGAAATGGGCTAGTAACAACACCAAGGTTATTCAAGCCGTACCAAGTGTTGCACGTGCCATGTCCCCATCGTTGTTGTTCACTTCAGCCGATCATGCAGAATTAAATGTATTGGGATTAAAATGGGATCCTTCTGCGGATATATTTTCGTTTCATACGCAACCTTCATCAAAAAATCCCACCAAAAGATCAGTTCTGTCAGACCTTGCTCGAACGTTTGACCCATTAGGATTGCTCTCACCGACTACATTCTGGATCAAGCACTTTATGCAGTGTTTATGGATTTCCGGGATAAAGTGGGACGATCCCTTACCAACCGACCTGTCTCTTCTCTGGAACAGATATCATTCAGAACTTCATTTAGTGAACACAATTATTATTCCTCGTCGCATTACTGACGATGGTGCGATTTCAGTCCATCTGCATGCGTTTTCGGATAGTTCTCAAAAGGGATACGCTGCATCAGTGTACCTCCGTGTTGAAACTGCTACGTCCGTCCGTTGTCACCTCATTACAGGAAAGACCAGAGTCGCACCTCTCAAACACGTTACCATTCCCCGTCTGGAATTATGTGGAGCAGTTCTAGCAGCACAACTCCTTCGTTACACTGTCACCGCATTTCAAGATCGAATACATGTCGACACATTGACTGCGTGGACTGACTCCACCACAGCCCTTGCATGGATTCGTTCGTCACCACATAGATGGACGACCTTTGTTGCAAATCGCACAAGTCAAATTCAAGAGTTGACCCCTCCATCTATTTGGAGGCACGTTCCCACTCTCTGCAATCCAGCTGACTGTGCATCTCGTGGATTATATCCATCAGACCTCGTGAACCATGCCCTTTGGTGGACTGGACCTCCATTCTTACTGAAACCCCCAGACCAATGGCCAGCTTCCCTCGACGCTTCTCAGGATGCCATCGATATACTACCTGATAATGAAATCCGGAAATCTGCTGTAGTGTCTCTGACCGTTAGATCTTCTGCTACGCAGTTACTTGATCGTTTCTCATCATTAGACAAAATTGTTAGAATCGTTGCATACTGTTTACGTGTAAAACCTGGTAAAAAACCGAAACAACAATCCACAACACTTCTGAACGCCGAAGAACTTCATCACGCTTTGCTTGCACTTATCTTGTCTGTCCAACGATCTGTATATCACGACGATATCGCATTGATAACCAAGAATTCGCCTTGTTCAAAACCACTACGTAAATTGGATGCATTTATTGATTCCGCTGGATTTCTCAGAGTGGGCGGTCGCCTTCAAAACTCTGATCTTCCATATGAACGCAAACATCCGCTCCTCATACCGTCACATCATCGATTAACAGAGTTGATTATCGACCACAATCATTGTAAATTGAAACACCCCGGCCCGTCTGCTCTTCAAACTCATTTACAACGTCTCTTTTGGATTCAGTCAGCCCGGCGAGTCATCCGTTCACGCTTGCGTCTGTGCATTCCATGTTTTCGGACCAGACCGCAATCCGTTCAACCGAAGATGGCTGCGCTCCCAAAGTATCGCGTCCAGCAGGTTAAACCCTTCGCCATCACCGGTGTAGATTATGCTGGACCGATTACTATAAAAAGTCATCGAGGCCGGAATTCACGTTCCGAACTGGCTTATATCTGTTTGTTTGTCTGCACAAACACGAAAGCGATTCATTTAGAGTTGAGTTCAGATCTGTCAACAGAAACGTTCCTATTGGCTCTCACACGGTTCACTTCACGTCGTGGTCCGGTAAGCGAGATCCACAGTGATAATGGAACGAATTTTGTTGGAGCATCGCGCCTCTTGAACCCGATACAAACATTGACCAATTCAAAACCATTTCAAACTCGTGTGCACTCTCATCTAGCAACTTCCAACATCCAATGGCATTTCAACCCTCCTTCATCTCCGCATTTTGGAGGATTGTGGGAAGCTGGGGTGAAATCTACCAAATCACTAATCCTCCGATCTATTGGACTCCACAAGCTGGTGGCTGAAGAGTTTATGACGCTGTTGACTCAAATTGAAGCTACGCTCAATTCACGGCCACTGTGTGCTTTAACAAATGACACATCCAATTTTGACGCTCTTACACCCAGTCACTTCTTGACCTTGGAACCATCTACGTCTCTTCCAGAGCCTAACTTAGAAAACGTCCCTATGTCAAAATTGAACCGTTGGCGTCTCATATCAGATATTCATAAGCACTTCTGGACTCGATGGAAGAACGAGTATCTTACCACACTTCAAGTTAGATCAAAATGGTTCACGGATTCGAAAAGTTTGAGTGTTGGCGAACTTGTTCTTATTCGAGAAGCCACACATCCGCTGCAATGGTCCATAGGAAGAATTCGTCAACTGCATCCAGGATCAGACGGAATAGCGCGAATTGCAACAGTGGATACTGCCACCGGATCCTTTGTTCGCCCAGCTGTAAAACTCTGCCCCTTTCCATCCTCTTGAAGGTTCCTTCAAAGTGGGCGGTGATGTTCGCGCCAAGACGATTCGTGCGACTAAATTCTGATGTACTTCGTTCGGTTACGTATTGCTCATCTCGCGCTAACCGCCGGTTGGCATATCACTATATAATAATAGTAATA